GGGGGGGGTGGGGGGTGGGGGTGGGTGGCCAATAGAGTCCTCCACCTCTCCCACCCAGTTCACTATTTTGACCAAGGGGGATGCTGAGGCCCAGACCAAGGGAGGGGTGTGTCCAGGTCTCCTGATTCCCAGGCTGGGGCCCTTCCCCAACACAGTCCGCCTCCACCCCAGAGGCACCGTGAACTCATTTTTTAACTCCCTCATTTGTTACCTCAGTCTCACTGAGCCTCTCTTGAGGGGCCTCACCTATGGAGAACCTAGGAGTAAGGAGAGGTTGTTTTCAGGGGAAGGGACCCAGGTGACAGGTAGGGACCTTCTCCCCTCTCCCTGCACCGCCTCCTCACCTGGGCTCTGGTTCCTCTTCATTCTCTTTCCCAGCAGCCTCAGCCTCCCCATCACTGCCCAGAGCCTGGTCTCCTGGGCCCAGGAGAGAAGTTCTGTGAGCCTCATTCTCAGGAAGTCTGGCTGTCACTCATGGGACAGGCCTTTAGAGATGCCCACCCACCTCCCATAGCCCACGGAGAAGGCAGTGCCCACCCAAAGACACAGTAGTGGGGGCAGCCAGGCGGGAGCCCAAGGGCCCTCTCTCCCTGTCCACATACAGCCAGCGCCCTGCACTGCACAAGGCTTGCCCTGCCCCGGGGATCTCCTCTCACCCCTGGAACTCTTCTTTCTGCGGATAGAGGCTCGGACAAGGTCAGAGCCAAAGCGGGCAGGGTGGTGCCGTCGGGAACGTGCTTCCTGGAACCAGTCCCCTGTCAGGATCTTCAGCTGCTCAGGGTCTGCCAGCGAGGCCCGGAGCTTGCTGGAGGATAGGGGAGGGCGTGGCTGTCACTACTCTCCCAACCAACATCCCTGTTACCCACTTTGGACCATGCTCTGGACCAGAGACCAGGGACCCAACAGCAAATCATACTTGATCCCTGCTCTGGAGGAGCTCAGGTTGCTGGGGAGACCAAGTCCAGAACAGGAGACCAAGTCCAGAAGAGACATGTACATTATAGTGGGGTAGATACTGTGAAGGATGTAAGAAGGGCCAGCTCTGACCATGGGAATCCAGGAGGGCTTCCCAGAGGAGGTGACATTTGAATTGCTTCTTAAAGGACAAATTGGAATTTGCCACATAGAGAAGATAATTATTATCCACTAGGTGATTACTGTGGGCTATACTTGCATAATCCCTCTGAATTCTGTGAGGTAGGACTCCTTAGCCCCATTTTACAGATGAGAGTGGTGCTCAGAGAGATCAGGTAGGTTGCCCAAGGTTTCACAGCTAGGAAGTGTCTGTTCCCAAACACTACTTGTAACCCCCACGCTCCTCTACCACTGTGCTCTTCCAGGAAGAAGAAACAGTCTCGGCTTGGAAGTGAAAGGTGTGTTCAGGAACCAAGGATTTCCCACCAGTAGCTGTAGTGGACACTTCATGTATGTATGTCCAAGTAAGGGTTATGGTGAAAGATGGGATGGGGGAGGCTGGCAGGGACTGATCCGGGAGGCCTTGTGGACCATATTTAGGAGCTTGCCCTTGACACTAGGTGTTGAGGAGCAAGGGGAGGTTTCAGCAGGGATGTTAAGGACGGATCCAGGGAGAGCCAGCTGTAGCCAGGGCAGTTGGGCCAGAGGGGGCAAGCCTGGAGGTAGGGATGCTGGTGAGGGAGCTGGTGCAGCCACCCTAGGAGAGATGATGAGCTCTGAGCTGGCCAAGGGCAGAGGGAAACAAAGGGCGAAACCAAGAACTCCCCAGATACCTGCCAGGCAGCATGCTGGTGGGGGGGAGCACTCAAGCCTCCCAGTGCTTGAGGCCCCTTCCTCCTGGGCTGCCTTGGAGAGGGTCTTCCCTGCCTCACCTGACCCGCCCCTCCTCCAGCTGGCGCAGGTGGGCGTCTCGTTTGAGGACATCATCAATGGCCTTCTGCTCCTCCTCTGTCAGGAAACTGAGGTCCAACAGTCCATCGGCCTCAGGCTCTGGTCCATGTGCCATGAGGAGGGAGGGCTGGGCCCAAAGCCCCTCTTGAGATGGATGGCCTCTCTGGGGCATCAGCTGGGGCTGTGCCCCAGCGGGGCACACGTGGCTTCCTGGTGACAGACCAAGTGTCAGGTCAAGCCCTGCCCAAATACACGGCACATCCTGAAGCCAACTGCCCTTTTCTCCTGAAACATATGCCCAGGAGGTGGGTAGGGTACAACTCTTGGAAGGCTGAGATCAAGGTGGGGTGAGATGCACTCATGACACATGCATACATTGGCCCATGAACACACTCAGGACACACCTGAAGAAGTGTACAGACACGAACACACACACCCTGAGATAGGGACACACAGAGAACCTCAGAGATGGCACACGTGCACACACTGATCCATGTAGGACAAATACCCATGGTCACACGTGCACACTGGCACACGCATACCCACTCCCCACGACAGGACCTATGCAGACATAGGCACGGGCATGCACACCCTTCAACCTTCACGCAGCTTGTGCACACTAAGGGAGACAGGGACCCACTCACATAGGTTTACCTATCCAGGAATAAGTCTGGGACACATACATCACTAGATACACACAAGTTGCACAGACTTTTGCACACGCATTTTGCCTAACTGGGTGTGAGCTCCTTGAGGGTAGGGACAGGGCATCACCCTCAAAGCCAGTACTTTACACACAACGGGTGGTTGTTAAAAGTTTGATTAACTCAATGCAGAAAGACACCTGCACACACATGAGAATGCACACACACAAAAACCCACCCAGATACACAAACACACACATCTGCTCACCCCCCCCCGCCCTGGAACCTCCCACCCTGGGTCCCTTCCCTTCACCCTTCACCTCCACCCTGCCCTGGCCCATTTGGCCTTCCTGTCTGAGGCAACCTCCTCCCCAGCCCACACCCCCAACTTCCTCCCCCGAGGTAACTACCGCACCCACTCCCATTGAGGCCTCCAGCCCAGGGATGCCTCCGCTGCCAGCCTTGCCCTCTTGCCCAGAGCCCCTGAGCTCTTTTGCTCTGGCCACACAGCTCCCCCAACCCTCCAACCCAAGACCTGGCTGGGGTCCCAATGGTGAGGCCTAGGCTGGCGAAGCTGCTTGTGCCCAGGTGCCACAGTGATCCGGAAGGAAAACATTTGCCCAGCCCTGAGGGGCATGTGGACGTGGCATGGGGCCCATGACTCGGCCGTGGCCGTGGCCTGAGCCCACTGGGCGGTCTTTCCTCTTCTCCCCGCCCCTTCCAGGGCTCCAGGCGGGGGCTGAGGTGGGAAGAGGGCGGCTCAGCAGGCAGGTCCTGGCTTGTGCCCACTGCCTCCTACACTCTGTCCCCTCCCAGCTGAGTCAGTGTCCAAGCCCAAACGAGCCCTGTCTCCTAGCCGTCCCTCGCTGTGAGGAGGCTGGCGTTTCTGCATACTGTATCATGTATAACGCTGTGTAAATGCCTGTGGACTCTACATGAACAGTTTTCCTGAGCTTCTGCTATGCCCAGGTGCTGGGTGTTGCAAACATAGTTTTGTGCTCTCCTGTGGCATGGTGTGTGAGCCCGTTTCCATCTCTGTGTTATGTTGTGGGGCCGTGTGAGTCTGGGGATGGTGGGCATGTCTGCCTACATGGGGTCTCTGAGCCTGTATCGTTTGTGTGTGAATATAGTCTCACTGTGTGTGCGTCTGTGTGTCATGCTGCAGTGTGATGCCGCATGGGTAACTATATCGCCCGTGTGGTGTGTTCAGTGACTTTCTGGGTCACAGCACTGTGTGGGTGTGTGCATTTCCTCCTATACTGTATGTGTGACTGGGCTGTGTGTGGTGGTGTGTACTCTAGTGCCCCAAGGGCCACCAGGTGTATGTGTCCGAGCATGGAAGTAGGGGGACAGTCAGCAGAACTGAGTCTACCCTGTCCTGCAGGTCTGCCTGGGCTGGGCCGTGGCTATCTGAGCCCAGCCTCCCCAGCAGTACCCCCTCCCCGCAGTCCCCTCTCCCTCCAGAGATGGAAACAAGTGTCTGGTCCTTCCTGCTCTATTTCAACACTGTGGGACAGACCCACTGGTCAATATAAAGGTCTGCCCATCTGTCTGGCTCTTCCAGTCCCACAAATGCTCCTGCTTCCCTCATCCCAAGGTCTGTGCTCAGTATAACAGGTGGCAGTGCCCGCCCCTCCGGGAAACTGGTAGGGGACCCCATCACCAAGATATGTTACCTGTAGGGGTTCAGTATCAGAGGACACCTTCGTAGGTGACTCCAGATCCCCTGGCACCTGAATTTCAACGACCAGAAGAGCAGTGAGGGACTAAGGCTGACTCAACCAGCAGCCCAGCCGCCCAGCAGCTGCCCCACCACAGAGGAGGAGGAGGAAACACCTCAGCAGGGCCTGATGCAAAACCGGGCCTGGACTCCAGAGATCCCAGAGCCAATTTGGTGGGCCCCAGTGGGCCCGAGAGGCCTGGGGCTTGGCTCCAGCTCCACTGCACATGCACTCTGTAACTCGAGCAGGCCCCAACCTCCAGAGCCTTGGCTGCCCCATCTGTAGAATGGGTAGTAGCCCCACTCTGTCCACGAGGAGTTGAAAGGAACTTGCTTTGAAAGCAGAAATCTTTCTTTCTAAGAACCAGAGTAATGAAAGGATTGCAGACTTGCAGTTAGACAACCCTGAGCAGAGACAGTCCATGCTCTGCCACTGTGTGATCTTGAGGAGGTCTCAATGTCTCTGAGCTGCAATTTCCTCCTATGCAAACTGTGGATAACAGAGCTCAAGGAGCCTGTGAAAGTGCCTGGTAGAGCTGGCATATATGAGGGTACTTCAAAAAGTTCACAGAAGGGCTGGCCAGTTAGCTCACTCGTTTAGAACGTGGTGTTATAATACTAAGGTCAAGGGTCAGATCTCCATACTGGCCAGCCACCAAAAAAAAAAAGTTCATGGCAAGATAGAATTAAAACAGAATACAAACCTTTCTTATTTATTTATCTTATTGTAACAAAGTTGATTGTACTTATCTGTGGGGTACAGAGTTGAACATCAATATTCATGTGCAATAAATATGTGATGCTCATGAGAATATGAACCTTTCCATGAACTTTTTTTTTTTTTTTAAAAGATGACCGGTAAGGGGATCTTAACCCTTGACTTGGTGTTGTCAGCACCACGCTCAGCCAGTGAGCAAACCGGCCATCCCTATATGGGATCCGAACCCGGGGCCTTGGTGTTATCAGCACCGCACTCTCCCGAGTGAGCCACAGGCCGGCCCATTCCATGAACTTTTTAAAAAACCCCTTGTAGTAGGTGCCAGGTGTCCCCTCCCCAACACAGTCTAGTGCTCATGGCCATTTCAGCAATCACTGCCCCTCCATGTCCACATACACCTCTGGGGTAGTTCTGGTCAGAGCAGAGCAGCTCTCTCTGTCCTCTCTGCCACCCTGGGCTGCATCTGTTAGAGGAGGCCTGTGCCAAGATGAGGGTCCCACACCCTCTGTCTACGGGGAGCCCCTCTGAGCACCCTATTCTGCACCCAGATTCTGCCCACCCTGAGAACAGAAGGTTTGGGCCCTAGATTGCAGTGGCTTGAGGACATGAGCCTCTGAGGCTGCCTTCATGGTGGTCTTGGGCACAAGAGCCATGGCAAGGCTTTCTGACTCTCTGCAAGTCTACTTCATTCCACACTGCCTGCCCTGCCCCTGCCCCCCACCCCCACACCTGGAGTCCTGGTTTAAAGATTACGGCTGCCCCGAGAGAGGCAAGGCTTTCTGACTCTCTGCAAGTCTACTTCATTCCACACTGCCTGCCCCGCCCCTGCCCCCCACCCCCACACCTGGAGTCCTGGTTTAAAGATTACGGCTGCCCCGAGAGAGGTGGGGCAGGGGGTGGGTTCTGCACGAGGCCACTCATCCTCTCCCTCATCGCAACCGGCTCCCAGAGGTTCCTACTGCTCTGAGAGACTGAGGGGTTCCTCCTCTACCCCCAGCTCAAGGGCCAGCCTTCCCTGTTTATTTCTTGCAAGTCAGTCTTACTTTCTGAGTCTCTTTTTCCTCATTTATGATATGGGGGTAATAATCCCTCCTCAGAGGGTTTTCACTACAATTTAATGAGATTCCATGGGCTGGCCGGTTAGCTCAGTTGGTTAGAGCATGGTGTAACACCAAGGTCAAGGGTTCAGATCCCCATAGCAGCCAGCCACCAAAAAACAAACAAAAATGAGATCCCTGCAGACAATTAATAAATAGACACATGCATGTACATCTCAATGCAGTATCCATTGAGAGTCCACCATGGGAGCGGTTACTGTGATGCTCCATTAAGGCTCCCAATAAAGGAGAGTGGCCAACAGCACCTGCACTCCTTCCCGCCAACCTGGTCCTAGCTCCCCGCAAAGCATGTTTCTCTAGGCACCCCACCCCTCCTCTGAGCAGCCCTCACCCCTGGAAGGCCTCAAACTTCATTGTCTGGTCTTCAGGCTTCTAAATTTCCCTTTCTCTCTCTGATCTCCTGTCCTATAGCTGTGACTCCCCTTGACGCTGTTTCCAGCCAATTCTCCTGCTCTTATTTCAACCTCAATTCATCTACCCTTCCCTACTGAAACCTTCTCTTATGTCCAAGTTCCCCATGTGCTGGCCCCAGACCTCCTGCTGCTTCCTGCTTCTTCCTGTCACCAGGTGCTGCCCACTCTTAGCCCCAGATGCTTTCCATAGGCATCCCATCTCCACCTGCCCTCCCACTGCCCAGGTCTCAGTCCCTGCTCAGCCTCCCAGTCAGGCTTCCTCTTCTGCAGTCTGCTCGCTGTCACACCTGTTCCTTCCAGCCCTTCGCTGCACAGCACTTTCGTTTGTCATTCCTCAGGTGCCAGCCGTCAGCCAGGGTAACCTTCTGGCCCATTAACAAATCTACCCCAAACCAGTCCAGCCTCCCTTAGACTTGCACTGACAGAGGACTGGCTGCGTCCACCTCCAGAGTTCAGTGTCCCTGCATGGCAGCCAGTCTCTAGGCGATGCCCTACAGTTAGGAGGCAGGACCCTCGAGGCCAGCAGAGCTGGGTTGAACTTCTGGCTCTGCCACGGGGTCCCCCTGTGGCCTTGCATCGGTGGCAACCTCTGTAAGCCTCACTCTCTCCCTTTATAAAACAAGGACAACAGCAGCCATCTAACAGGACTGCTGGAAGGAGTGCTTCCCTCTCACCTCCAGCATCCGTTCTCCCTTTTCTTTAGTCACAGCACCCATGTTCTTTGGAGAAACAGCCCCTCCCCTCTTTCATGCCTTGTGCTCCAGGAGGGCCATCCCGCAGGGTGGTTCAAGTTGGGCTCTGGAGCCAGGCTGCTGGGTTTGAACCATGGTTCCACTCTATCTCTGTGACCTTGAGCAAATGACTTGACTTCTCTGTTTCTTCATCTGTCAGATGGGATGACAGAACCTACCTTCTGGGACTGCTGTAGGGATAAATAATACAGTACTTTATTACAAGGTCTAGCACATTGTAAGCACTCAGTAATTGTCAGTGATTCTTATGGCACCTGTTTATGTCCCATCTCCCCAAGGGAACTGTTAGGTTCTGCTGGGGCAGGTGTTAAGACTTTTTTCTACCTATTCTGCTGTAGTTGTCCTCAGTAGTGGAACTTTTCCCCCCAACCAACTCTCAAGTAGACCCCAATATGCAGAACAGGTTTCTGAAAGTGGAATTTCTCTGAAGAGGGGAGGGGTACCTCTGCCTTGCCCTGGAAAAGTCCCAGGCTTGGAAGCCACAGCACAGCTGGGTCTGAGATCAACTGGCAGACAGCGAACCAGGGACCTGATGGCCAGTAGCAAGAGCCTGTCTTAAGGCCACCCTTAGGGTGAGCACCAAGGGCCCTCAGGATCCAGAGACCAAATCTTTGGCTGGTTCAACTGTAGTGACACATGGGCAGGATTGGGAAAGACTTCACAGAGGAAGTAGCTTTTAAGCTGGGCCTTGGGAGGCCAGGCCATGATTTCAACAGGTGGAAATCAAAGGACCAGAGCCTGGCGAGTGCTGGAGAGCGAGGTGTGTGGAGTGTGAGGAACCTGGAGGGCCTTGATGGCCATGGAGAAGTGGAGGCACCATAGGGAGGGAGTGACACGATTCTGGGGGTCAGCATGTAGACCTTGGCAACATAACTGATGGGCAAGGTGGGTCAGGGACCAGGCAGTTCAATTGGCTTATTTTAAACAGTGCCTCCCTGGGAGACAGAATAGGTCCAGGGCTCTGTTCTGCCCAGTGGAAGTCCTGCTCAGCCCCAACCCTGACCCTACTCCAAGTGCTTCCCACCAGGGAATAAGGGAGAGAGCTAAAGACCACCATTCATTCAATAGGCGCTCACTAGCTTAAAGGAGGAAGCTTTGGAATGGTGGATATGGGATGGCGGGAATTCCCACAGCCTGGGCACAGGGGCAGGGCACCTCTGAGGGATGCTGAGTCCCTGGAAGCCCCAGGCACTGGACGCGAACTCAGCCATGGCGCTGGCAACCAGACACCTTGCCAAGGGCAGAGAAACCCAAGAACAACAAGAAGATGAGGGGGCCACAGAGAGAGAGAAAACAATGACAGGGCACCCTCTGGAGTCAAAAGTCTTTATTGTCCTGTCCAGGGAGTCCCTCCCACAGGAATCCATGGAGGAGGGGGTAAGGTGGACAGCATGGGGCCCTCTTTCACAATATGAAGAAAAGGGGGAGCTGTAGTCAGGTGGGAGGAAACAGCTCCCCTCCAGCTCCTGATGGCCTGGCTGCTCTGACAGGCCACCCATAGTTTGAACCCAAGAGGTACCATCACCAGCACGAGGCCCATACCTGGGGCGAGGGCCAAGTGTTCACATTGCTCTGGTCTACAGGGGCTCACTCCAGCACACGTCAGCTCCACTCACCTCCCCAGCCAGGCCCCAAACTGCAGGGGGAGATGGGCTCAAGTGCTGAGAGGCCCTCAGAGAGGGGGAAGTGGGGTGTGCATGGACTGGAGGGCATGAGATGGGGCACAAATCACCCCTAGTGCAGCTTCTGCAGACACCTGAAGGAGGGGCCCACCCGGCCCCTCTGGGCTATTCTAGAGGCCTGTGGTGAAGGCCCTGGGGCAGCTTAGCTTAGAGACTTCTTAGTGTACCCCACCCCACCCTGGTACCAGAGCTAACAGCAGAAGCACAGGCTCCTCATCCAGCTCTGGTTCAGGTACTGTCTTGTCTGATGGATCCAAACGTTCTCCCCTCCCCGCATAGGGCACTGGGCTGAGGCAAAAGCCCAGCAGGTAGTAGCA